CGTTGTATCCATCCTCGATTTCTCTCATTGTACCGTCAAATTTGGAACCGCAGGCCTGGCTAGATCAAATCGCTAGTACCGTACAACGCGTCACCGGATCGGCACCCTCAGTGAAGACTTTCGAGGAAGTTGAAGCAAACGATGACTGTCTGCTCATCGTGGCGCTCGACCATCATACACCCTTCATCGAAACCATGGACGACGAAACATTTGAGAAACTTCGGTATCTCTTGCTTCGTTCCAGAGGTATCCTCTGGTTAAGCTTTGGCGGAGCAGTTGACAACGAGGATCCACGCTTTGCTCAGATGGCTGGTCTGTTTAGGACTCTGCGACGCGAAGATTCGAGTAAGCGATACGTTCGATTGGCATGTGGGCGACCACAGCAATCGTGGCCAACAGAAACACTGCAGATGCTGGCGCACGTCTTGCAGCAGAGTTTCGACTATAGCCCATCCGGTAATGCCAACTTGGACTGGGAATATTCTGTGAAAGACCAAGGCCTGTATGTTCCTCGTCTGTATCCAGATCTTGCGCAAGATAGGGCTGCTAGTGGAGGCGACCAACCTCCTTACCTGCAAGACTTCAGCTATGCCAACAAAACACTGAGGCTTCAACGAACACGCAGCGGTGTATCCGGTATCGAATCCTGCTTTGTGGAAACACCCAGCACGGTGGAAGATTTGCCGAGCGGATTGATTGAGATCGAGCCGAAAGCTTTTGGCCTGAACATAGTAGAGGCAATTGAAGACGACGATCCGGCCGCTCATGAAGGCAGCGGTGTCGTTAGAAGGCTTGGTCCAGACACACAACATTCCGGCTTATGTGTTGGTGATCGAGTCTGCGGTATCTTTAGAGGCCCCATAAGCAATGTCGGCCACGCTCACTGGACATGCGTCGTCAAAATTCCTGACGATCTTACTTGGGAGGAAGCCGCATCCGCACCGTATGCTTATTCGACCGCTTGGTTAGCTTTGCGCAACATCGCAAGATTACAGAAGCATGAGCGAGTGCTATTACACTTTGTTACGGCAGGTGTCAATCGAGCTGCTCTTGCCTTGGCGCAGAACATCGGAGCCGAGGTCTTTGTCACTTGCGCAACAGATGAAGAGCGCAATATTCTGCTAAAAGATTACAACGTCTCCAGTAGCCATATTTTGCCTATTGAGGCCGCCTCTCTTGTAGCTGCTATCATGTCCCAGACCGATGGTCAAGGTATTGATGTGACGCTGAGCTCTGTCGGCGGGTCATTGCTGAAGGCATGCTGGGAGTGTACTGCCCCATTTGGCCGCTTCATACAACTTGGCAGGGCGGACTTAGAAAAGTCGAAGCACCTTGATATGACGCCGTTTGGCCGCGGGGTCTCCATGACAGGCCTTGATACCCTGCAATACAGCGAAAAGAGAGGCATAATATTCCACAGAGCATTAGCAGCATCCATTGAGCTGTCGCAACACGAAGGAGCGAGGCTCGCTACATCAGCCAAAGTCTTCCGGCTGGACGAGGTCGATAAAGCCTTTCAGCATATCCGAGGTGGGAGCCACTTGGGTGGTGCGGTCATTCTTCCACAGCCTGGTGATGAGGTGCATGTCATCCCCAAGACTAAACCTTCGCTTGGCCTCGACTCTCCGAACTCTACCTATCTGATTATTGGAGGTCTTGGAGGTATCGGACTTGCCGCAGCTTATTGGATGATGGAACAGGGGGCCAGGAATTTGATCATAGTCTCCCGCAATGCTGAGGCTCACCCGAAAGGGTTGGCGTTGGCTCAAGAAGGAAGTAAGTACGGTTGCAATGTCTACTTACGCAACTGTGACATTTCCGATGGAGAGTCCGTCTGTAGTCTCCTGGCGAAAGTGAAGGAAGAGCTACCTCCAATCCGCGGGGTTTTTCAAATCGCCGCAATACTCGACGACACGGTCTTTGAGCGCATGACGTTCGAACAATGGCAGAAAGCTATCGGCCCCAAAGTCACCGGCACCTGGGCCCTTCACCACAACTTGCCAGGCCTAGATTTCTTCATCACGACCTCTTCCGCCACAGGAGTTCTAGGTAACGTGTCACAGAGTAATTATACTGCTGGTGGTACGTTTCAAGATGCATTCGCGCGATACCGCACGTCACTCGGCCTGCCCGCTGTGACAATCGATCTTGGTCCCATCGATGATGTTGGGTACGTCGCACAAGGTGGAGATGCAGTGAAGATGCGCGTGGAGAAGGCCCTTGGCATGAAGTGTTTGCCCATCGCCCATGTATTGCGACTGTTTGAAGATGCAATCAGGAATCCAAACCGACGCCGCACCGAGAATAGCCAGGTCATTACCTGTATTTCTGGGTACCGCAACTTGGTGGATGATCCAGCGGTGAGGAAAGACCGCCGATTGGGAACTCTGCGATTGGGCGATGCCACCACGACAGAAGCCTCGGTCCATTCACAGTCCGAATCATCGAAGAACATCGATGGGCTGGTGTCTCAGTTGTCGACAGAATCGTTGTCCGAAAGCAGGTCGAAGGAGGTCATCGTGGACCTGCTGGTAGCCAAGGTTGCCGAGTTGTTCAATTTGGAGAAGAGTGACATCGACACTGGTGATGCTCTGACAAGCATTGGCGTTGATTCTCTGGTTGCTGTAGATTTTCGGAACTGGTTGGGTAGCGTTGTCAAGGCCAAAGTCAGCATCTTCGAAATCCTCCAGACAGCGTCGCTGGACGAATTTTCTAGTCTTGTAGCAGAGAGAAGGAAATAGGAGAATTTTTGGTTGTATATGGCTAGATAGAAGATTATGCATTCGGTTTCGTTACAAGCTTCAAGTGGAGCAACCACGCGACGCCCGGCGTTTATTTAATCCGAGCTCCGATAGTCCGATGGCTTCTGATGGAGCTCCGCGCTCCGATGCACGCCATAGGTCAGATGTGTTCAGCTGAGCCGCAGGACGGTACTCTCTGCATATGCTATCGTTTTAGCCCCAGGGGGATTCGCACATTACTTCCGAGCCTAACATAGTCCTGATTCGTGCCTTGAGGTCGTTGTTGGTTGAGACGTGTCGCTTATTCCCATGAAACTGTAGGAGCATCATCGATTCACTCACGACATACATATTCCTTGCTTCTCTTGTTCTTCCCATCCCAAACTCCAGCTTTTGATCTACACAACTTAATCTAGGACACTACAACTCGAGTTGCGATTGGAGTCATATAGAAGAAAGTACGCGCGAAAACGCCCCTCAATATAACAAGCCTCACATACATTCTCGATCCAGCTAACAGGCCAACCTATCAGCCATGTTTTGTAGGCTTCCTGCTCCTCCTCAACCTTCTTTTTCTAATGAACAGCAGCCCTGAACACAACCGCAACCCTCCACCACGTAACTCATCTCCCGCGGTCGATCTCCTTCGCCAGCGCCGTCTCCCAGCTCCACAACCACGAACTCCTCATTCGTCTCGACCCTGAATATGCTTCTCACGAAACGCTCCCCTCTGACCCCTCCACCCCAGCGGCCAAATGCTACAGAATCACCGACCACATGAATGCGCTTCCCGCAGGTCTGTGGGACACGACTGTCAAGTTTGACGCGCACATGACGGATCTGGATGATGGAGTGTTGTGGATCATCAAAGCTCCGTTGGGACTTACGCAACGGACCACTTGGAGGTGCTTGAAGACGGACACTTTGGAAGAGGCAGACAGGGCTGAGGGCGTCGAGGACAGTGAATGGAGTTTAGTGGAGGACGTGGAGATCAAGGCAAATAGGATGTTGGTTGGAACAGTCAAGGGGAAATGCGAGGAAAACTGGCCAGGAGCACATGGCAAGTTTTTGAAGCATTTGATGGCGGAGGGTGGGGAGACGAAGGCGTGATGAGGAGTCGGAGCAGCCTTGGAGAGATTAGTTTTACTTGTACAGGTACTAGAGGCGTTCTGAGCTCGCCCCGCAGTCATGCGTGACCTGTTCAGTACATAATGCCTACTACAAAGAACGTACTACAGTTTTGAGCTAGGATGCTACAAATGGAGTCGACAGGCCGAAGCCAAAGATTTACGGCACAGTTCTTCGCAAGCCTTGCCCGCCATGCCGGGAACGTGGAGAATCAGACCAACCAACACCTAATCAGGACCGATGGGCCATGTGCCGTTGGGCCTAAAGACGTGTTTTGCCTGGTGCATGGGGCGAGAAGTTCCTGGGCGGAGCCTCTGCATCTAGAAGGCGGGCAGATTGGCGGAATTGGATCCTGGTGGCGGGACGCGAACATCAGCTAGGCGTAAAGAGGATGCTGCTTCTCAACCTGGGGAGTCCCTGCATGAAGCCAACTGCTGCAGCATGGAGAACCGACCCTGGAAGCCGACTGCTGCTCTCTGCATTTGTTGTTGCGCGATGGCGGTTTGCAGTACTATATCATGGCCAGAGAAGCAAAGGCTCTTATCTGCTCACGCGATGCTGTGAGACAGGTCAAGCGACCAATGTCTCTCTTTGGAGGTGCGCTGGTGACCGCCGAGATCTCGCACGTGGCGCCGTTCCAATCGGGCCTTCTGATAGCGACGATAAGACATTGGACGACAGCAGTGGCAGTACGTGAAAGCTGCTGCACGTCGCTGCTGCTGGCATCCTTCGCGTCATCTTGTTACACGCTATAGTCAGCGCTCGGTCGACTTGCTAGCTGACGGCTCGAGATCGTTCTTGAACCGAAGGGCTGTTGATCGGCCTGCCTCGCTCGCTCGCCGCATAACACGGGCCATGCTCCCCGCCTTTCGCCTTTCTAGACTGGAACTGCCCCATTCCGCTATCCGCTCAGCTATCAAAAACCGCGCACCCAACCGCCGGGTCGACGTCAGCTTTCTTGCGTTTGTTCCTTTTTGCTGGTACGGGACTGTTCCCACCTTCTCTACCTGCCATCTTGCTCCTGCAGTCGTGACGACATCCTGGTCAGGTTCTCGACATTGACAGCACCCTCCTTCCCCGCGCCCAACCATCCATCACCGAGCACCGCGCACCGCACAGCCACGCCTCACCATGGAGCCGCTATCCATCGACTCCGTGGTCGTCAACCATGGCGAAGTGAACCCCTCGCCGGGAACTCCTCCTTCAGACGCCATCATGATCGAGCAGCCAAAGATGAAGGGCAGGCAGCGTCTGTTCATGGGCCTACAACGCATGGCGTCTTCCAATAGTCTAGCACACATGAGCAGACCTCGTTCACACAGTCTGAGAAGCGGCGGAAAGGCATCCATGTCTTGCGTCTCCCTTGCATCGCCTGGCTCGCCGTATGGAAACTCATTCGGCAGTTCCTATTCGTCGGAACTGTCGAATGGTTACTCTACGGCACCAACATCCGTAGCCAACAGCCCGCCCGGCACTCCTTTCTGGGATGAGAGGACCCGCCTACGCATGAAAACACCAGACGTTCCATCCTCAGTACCTCTCCCTTCGGCACGACGACCCTTCACCCGGGATGGCACCGAGGCCGAGAGCGACTACTTCTCGCGGCCTGTACGCAAGGTACAGAGACGAGCCAACTTCAATTTTTGGGGCGACATGCCCACCGAGATTCGCATGCAGATTCTCAGATATCTCGAACCCAAGGAAGTTGTGCGATGTTCTCGCGTCTCCAAATCGTGGCATACCATGTGCTTCGACGGTCAGCTGTGGAGCGATCTCGATACGAGCAACTTTTACCGCGACATCTCAGCCAACGCTCTGGTCAACATCATCACATCGGCGGGTCCGTTTGTCAAGGATTTGAACTTGAGAGGCTGCGTACAACTGAGGGAACACTGGGGCAAGGACGGCTTCATTGAGTCCTGCCAGAATCTGGAGAACTTTTCGCTACAGGGATGCCGGATTGACCGGACGTCTATCCACTGCTTCCTACTTCAAAACAGCCGCCTCGTTCACGTCAATCTCTCGGGTCTCGCAGGCGCAACAAATGCAGCGATGAAGATTCTGGCCGCACACTGCCCAAGAGTCGAAGTCTTGAACATCTCATGGTGTAACAACATCGACAACCGTGGGCTGAAAAAGGTTGTCGAGGGTTGTAAAAAATTGCGAGACATCAGAGCTGGTGAAGTACGAGGCTGGGATGACGTCGACCTGATGGTGGAATTGTTCAAGCGAAACACTCTGGAAAGGCTTGACCTCAAGAACTGCGACAGTCTCAATGATGAAGCGCTGGCTGCTTTGATCGAGGGCGTAGACGAAGAGGTCGACGTCCTTACCGACCGGCCAATCGTCCCACCTAGAAACCTCAAGCACCTGAACCTCACTCGTTGCCGCAGTATCACTGATACTGGCCTGAAGACGTTAGTACACAACGTCCCATGTCTAGAAGGCCTCCAAGTCTCGAAATGCGGTGGACTCACCGATGATTCGTTGATCAGCTTACTGCCTACTGTGCCAGTTCTTACGCATCTAGACGTTGAAGAGATCGACGGATTGACCAACGAAGTCCTGAAGACACTCGCTGAAGCTCCATGCGCCCCTCATCTGCGACACCTCTGCATCTCCTACTGCGAAAATCTAGGAGATACGGGCATGCTCCCCATACTGAAAGCCTGCACCCGTCTCGCATCACTTGAAATGGATAACACACGCATCTCCGACCTCGTCCTCGCAGAAGCTGCATCAGGCCTCCGCAACCGCAACCGCGCCGCTCGTGGCTTAACCAACTCAGAGCGCCCAGAGGTTGGTCTTCGCATCGAAGCATATGACTGCGCAAATGTAACATGGACCGGTGTTCGCGAAGTCCTATCTCGAAATGCAGAGATCACACGTCCTTCTTCGCGCTCTGCGAGCAAAGTCGCGACGTATCCACGTGAGATTATCAAGCTCAAGTGCTTCCATAACTGGCAACCTACAGTGGAGGAACATACCAAGCGTGTCTTGAGGGGTGATTTCGCAGCCGCCGCGCGTTTGGAACGCAAGTGGGCCGATTGGATGATGCTAAATGAGGAAGCAGGTGTTGGTGGTGCTGGAGCTAGGCGGCGGAGAAGAAGAGCGAGGGAAGCGCAGATGATGCATGCGGATGAAGAGGAAGGCGGCGCTGGTGCTACTGGCGGTGTTGGTCGTCGCCGCCGTGCTCGAAGTGGTCCAGGCGGCTGCACTGTGATGTGAATGTGTTTTTTGGTGTCTGCAGCGCCGGGGTCATATGGCGTTTTCTTCTTGGGATAGAAGTCAGCCCCAGGTTTGTGGTTTGATGCAGCGATGTTGCATATGGCTCAAATACGTTGCACAATGGTCCGATGCTCCTCCCTTTGGGTGAGTTTGAGCGTTGGAAATAGTCCTGATATTAGCATGGGTATCTGGAGTTGTGGAGCGGCTACTTTTGTGTTGTTCATAGATCTCTACATGTTGCATGTTACATACTTATGCATCCATCTTCATTCACTCTCAGTCAAGAAGTCCCATCTCATGATCTTGAGTCGAAGCATGCTGCAGCTCGCAGACCTACATCAAAATGTTTGTTTGCACGTGAGCGCGTGACTAGCTCGAGTTAGCGGCGTGTTTGCTCTGCATTACATCATCTTCGAACAATCGCTCATTCAACTTCAACATATCATTGCGATAGAGCAAGGCTTTCATTTCTGCTGGTAACAGTCTCACACCAGCCGAAAAGGAAACATGGATGATCAATGGGAAATTTCCAAGACCAACCTTGAGGCTTTTCGCATCGCGGGTCTACCACCAGACTTCTACTACATTTCAGATTTCATCAGCGCAGAAGAAGAATCGTCAATTGTGCAGAAGGTGCGTTTTCCTTTTCGCCCTTGTTTCCAATCCTTCTTTTTTTTTTCTACTCTCCGACGCATGAGACTGCAGACACGAGTTTTGCAGTTCTACTATTAACTACCCCGCCTCGTTTGTCCCCTTGCAACGGTCCGTGGGATGTACAACACACCTAAACACCTTCACTACACTACCCTTGAAAACCATCTTTATGCAACTAATATCCCTAGATACCAGCTCAGAGATGGACACACCTCACTCATCGGCGTCTCCAGGCTCTGCCCTCCACCCTCACTAAAAACAATACCTTGCTCGCCGCCCCTTTGCCCGCTTACCTCACCAACCCCATCCTATCTCGCTTTAAAGACCTAGGAATCTTTGACCACACACCGCACAGCCAGCCGAACCATGTTCTCGTCAACGAGTATAGACCCGGTGAGGGCATCATGCCACACGAAGACGGAGATGCGTATGCCCATGTCGTTGCGACGGTTAGTCTAGGTGCGGGTTTATGCTTGAATGTGCTCCCTAAACCGGAGCCTTTTTCCATTCAAGAAGGAAAGCAGGATGGGGGTAATGAGGGCCAAGGAGATGGGAAGAAGGACAGGAATGAGAGGCAGGAGATCGAGCAATCTTCACCTACTAGAAACGAGGACGACCAGCAAGAGAGAATGTTGCATCTACCTACACGTATCTTTCAGGAACCCCGCTCCTTGCTCATCACAACGGGTCGTGCATATCGGGAGCTGATGCACGGTATCTCGTCTATTGAGGTTGATAAGGAATTGAGCGAGGGAACGGTGGCGAATTGGGGATTATTGAGTCAGGAAGGGAAAGGTGCGATCGCTAGGGATGGTGGCAGTAATCTCAGAGGTACAAGAGTGAGCCTGACATATCGGGATGTAATCAAGGTTAGCACGGCAGCGAGTAGAGTGTTTGGTTTGGGGAGGCGATGATACTCGAAATATTGTCATCATGCAGTGACATTGGAATGGAAAAAGTCAAGTTCGTGTTTCAGAATACTTGCAATCGAGTCATCACGTGATCAGAATGGACATGGCCTGTTGAGGTGCAAAACATGATTGGTATACTTCGCTCAAACGGACAAACAAAGGAAATTACCTGCACCTAACCATGTACATCGCTCTTCCTCTTCTCGGTACACTATTCCAGACACCACAATCAGAAATCGCGTTTCTGCCTACACAACTCACGCCTGCTGTTCCTTAGCGGGCCTATAGTGCCCGTTCAGATCCGAATCACTCCCATCACTCCTGCTGTTATCGCTCTGCCTCCTCTCGCCCGTAAGCTTTTCGGGACTCTGCTGCTCCGCCAACTTCGCTGCCTTCTTCCTCCTCATCTCACCCCAGATCGCCGCAGCAACCCAGGTAACCCACATAACACCAGCAACAACACCGTAAGCAATCTCGCCATCAGGCGAGTTACCCGCAAGCAGCAGGCCAAGTCCACCGTTGATGATACCGAGGGTAATCGCGATGCGACCAACCCAGATATGAGCGTAGGACCAGAGAGTGCGGTGACTGTACTTCTTGAAGAGGACGTGGTGCATCCAGCCTAAGATTGGTTGGAAGAAGATGAGCGCAAAGACGACCATGCCGATGATGGCGTGGTAGCTGTCAATGTAGTGACCGCCACTGACTGGTAGAGCAAGCCAGATACCTAGACCAAACGCAGCAGTGTATGTCATGTAAGCGAAGATCTGGAACAAGGCGTGAAACCAGAGGACGCCAGGGAAGGAAGCGAGACGGATGGCGATGGATCCTGCGGGGAAGAGGATGACGAACGCGAGAGAGGCGAGGACACCGTGGGCAATGAGGTGTTTCTTCGTGTTGGGTCCGCTGGAGGAGATGGTTGTGACACCAGAGTTGGCGCCGCCGTTGTTGGCAAGCGTATCGCAGTAGGGGAGTGAGGAGTCGTCGGATTGACGTTTATCCCATGGTGCGTCCGTAGGCCAGGATGTTGGGCGCGCGGTAGGTCGGTGAGTCCACCAGTCGTCATCGTCGTAGGAGGCAGTCTTGCTGGGTTTGGCCGATGACCCTGATCCTGATCCTGATGCTGTTGCTGCGGCGCCAGAAGGGCGTTGGCGGCAGTTGGTCGGAGTTGCGCCTGATCCGCCGGTGGTACCGGAGGGGGAGGTATTGAGAAGGGGGTTTACACTTGAGCCTCCCTTAGCGGCAGCGAACTCCCAATTGAAGACGCCTTCGCTACTGTGCTGGCGGATAGATGCAGACGTAGAATCATCGTTCTTGGGACCCCCTGAGGATTGGTAGGCGTAGATGAAGTTGCCGCTGTTGGAGGTAAAGTCCATGGTGCCGCCGGACCAGCTGTTACAGTTGGAACCTGAATTACATGTCAATGGATGTTCTAATTGTATGAAGGAGTATAATACTCACATCTCACGTTGGCAGTCATGACACCATTCGAGACACCAGAGCCTTCAAGTAGCGTGACTTGCGCAGCATCATTAGGGCTAGGAGCGCTATAGCTGCTTGTCGTTCGTGGCGATAATGTCACGTTATTGCCGTCTGCTGAAGTGTATACAACAAACATGTTGGAATTGGCCATGCCACTACCCTGACCGAGCGCAACCCACTCATAGCTGCTCGGTGCAGATATCGAGAAAAAGATCTCCCCAGCATCGGAGGATGCTGCTGTTGCTTCGGGAATGTTGAGCCCAAAGGTTACACCGTCCGAGGGACTGGTATTGGCAACTTGAGCTGAGGCACGATAGGCTGGATGTGGTTAGTGCTGTAGTACAACTCGGCTATGGCAATAGGCTTACCCAAAGCCAATAGGCCTGCAGCAGACGTCTTAGTATTGTGTCTCATTTTTGAGATGGCCCTGAAGAGTGTTGAAAGGAAACTGAAGTAAGAGATGTCAAAGGGCTCGACGCTTCGAGGCTAGTAACGCCCGGCTGAAGTGGCTTGGGAGGCGTCCCTAAAGCAAGGTAGATGACAAAGCTATCGATCTGGCGTAAGGGTAGGAGAGCCAACGAACCAATGAGACAAGGTGTTTTGAACTTGAGCAAGTGATGTTCTGTCAGATGTTTCTTGGTGGATGTGGACAAAGAGGTTTATAGATGGTGGAGACCGGATCGTCCGCCTTCCAAGAGTACCATCCAAGGCCCAAGACAGATGCTGACAGAAGCATGGTCTACGTACACACACTTGGCTTAGTTTGGTGAGTAGGTATCTGTAGGCACAGTTGAACCAGCGGTATTACTGCTGATGCGTGGTTGGGCAATGCTGGCCGAATGCGGCGGCTTTGCGGAGACCCGTCACCGGCTGGGCAGACCGCAAACAACCTCAGGACATGACAACACAACTTGTGCAAGAGGTACGCGTCACAGACGCCATGAGGCACGAACAGTGAGATACCCGAGCGAGCATGGTTGCAGGCTTATCGTGATACCAGTGAGGGCTGGCGGACTTAACGGCGGCGCGGCTTGGCCTTACGCGTAGAGGTGGCTATGTGCAGGGACAAAGAAGTAACTCGCACCCGGGCGAATAGCACGTCACGTATTTTGCAAAAGTAATGTCCCGATGCTGGGGCACGCTGGCGAAGGCGAGCATGTTGGTTCGCGTGCGGGTGGTGAACGTGTGAGTTAGTAGCGAAGCCCTGGGAGGACGGACTTGGTACCCTTTGCCGTTGCGGGTCCCTGCTCATGGATGTGCCGCACGTTTCATCGTCGAAGCCGCAACTTGGTGCCTCTCAACACTCCCACTCCGCACTCCAAGACATGTCAGCAATCTGCATTCAGATCCAGACCTCGATGCTTTCGTGCTCATCGATCTGGACAGCCTTCTACAAGACCTTGGACTCAGGGCAGTCCTTGAAATTGCCTACCCCTTTCAATCATTCAAATTCCTCCTAGACTACTGCGAGATTCGGCTATTTCCACATATTACGGTCTATTGTGCCCGGTGCTATAGCTACTATTATCGAGTTGGTTCCTGCTTGGATTGCTCTGCAGTGTATCTGCAGCTGCATTTTCCGGTTTCACGTGGCGCTGCATCTGTCTCGATAGGCGCAGTGGTGGCTTGCAGCCTCAGCCCTGCCCGACCGCGTCAGCTATGACAGAAGCCTTGGAATCAAGGAAGTAAAATCAACACCATCGGCGTTTCTTGGAGAGAATCGCCGAGGTATCACGATGCCAAGCTGACTGCATCCTCTCTGCATACGTAGACGAAATATCATCGATATCTCATCGAGATGACTGGATTGCGTTTTGTTGATGCAATCAGCAGGCTTGAGGTTGAGCTGTGGCACCAAAGGTGAGCGCCCCGATCTTACACAGCAAGTGTTTCACGTTCGCGTACTTTGCTTTCTGACTGTGTTTTGTGCAATTGTGCATGATTTTGTTTTCTCGTATGATTCACGATCTCTTCGCCGTTCAGCTCGACTTGGTGATTTTCTCCAGACCGACAAAGGCCCTTTTTTCACCGGCTGGGCAGTAGTATCATTAATCACGTGCTGCCATCTTGCACTGCCTCTCCCAAGTTTCTTGGAGAAACTGACTTCTGAAACCATCTCAAACTACAATATACCATTCGGAAAAGGCCCGAGGAAAACCTGGGGTAATTACTAAGGACGAATTATCCGGTGGTAAGAATATGTAATGGTGTGCGATTCAACATGGTTGGCTGGCTGCGCCACGACTCTAGAGCCACTTCACGACAACAGACACGGACAAAACTACATAATGGGTACGGCCGTAGTGGGGTCAAGCTGCCTTTAGCCGCGATCGACGCAAACGAGGTTCAACACCATGTCCATTATCATCGTGGTCTCTGATCCTCCGCAATTTGATCCCGAGGTCGGCTTGACGGTGCTTCTCTGTACGCGAGGTCCGTATTCGACGTATTCAATCTATAGGGACTCCACCTTCTTCTTATGAACAACTATCCTTACCACGTGGATCTATGGAGAGGCGAAGGCATTACGCGGTTCGATCGAGCTGCTCTTGCTTTGGGCAGCGATACGACGATTGCAAGAGGAAGTCATCCCCAGTTGGACTTGATAACCCGATAACCACAGCCTTCCACTCTAGGACGACGGGGATTAGCTAGTGTAAGCTCTGAAGAGAGAGGAAAAGCTAGAAGACGGACTTGGGAGAATCAGAGAGTAGATATGCGACGACATGAGGAAGGTGAATAAGACATGATGTTCAAACAACGACAGGAGCAGGGTATCTCATTACCTTTGCTCAAACTACTTTAGCTCGACTGAGAAGTCTGTAATGCACATCTCGATACTCCAGAACAGCTTCAGACTTTGGTATATCCAGTTCTGTGGCAACTAAGTCACAACCGCACCAGTTTCAGATGCGTAAGGGTACCAAGCTTCGTGTTCAGGTTGCATGTGACGAACTCGTTTTCCTCAGTGTTGAGTAGCTGTAATGTTTCAGTTGCACTCTCTGGCTAAATCTGAACCTCACGGCTAAGATCGCAGTCCAGCCACGTCACAGGCTTCAACAATGCGAGAAATCGAGAGATCAGACACATGAATCATGTATGCGCGCACATCCAAGCATGTACTATTGTATGTTTGGTAGTGTTCCCATAAGCAGTGTCGAATTGTTAGGACAGTAGTATCATAAGACAGCCGCAACGATAAAAAGAAGGGATGCGGATTCGGAAAAGTGAGTGTCACGATCCTCGTCTTCTTAAACAATGTACTTGGGCAAACTCAGAGGGAAATGCGAGGTGCATGCACTTTAGTTTGGAGGACGCTGTGTATGGTGAGGAGCTCATATAGAACCTGGCAGAGCGCGGTATCTCGCTCGCACGCGTACTCATGCGTGAAACATAACTAGTGTTCCATCTCGTCAACATCATCATCGCCACCAACCTCATCATACTCAACATCGGCTGTGTCGCCCTCCTCATAGCCTCCCCCCTCGCCATCTTCGTCTTCACTGTCAGAGCCTGAACCCTCGCTCTCGCCCTCACTTCCCGGATCAAAGTCATCATCCTCTTCTTCATCGTCTTCCTGGTCCTGTAACTCCCTCTCGGCCTTCTGCAGCTCGCTCTCCTCTTCCTCACCGGCAGCCTCTTCTACTGTTGCTCCATTCTCCTTCTTGCCGCCCACCTTGTTTACGTTAAGCTTCTTTGCGCGTCTGTCCGCAGCCAGACTAGCATCTTGCAGCCCGTGTTTCTGGACGTATTCATTTATGCCGGCAAAGTCTTGCTGGTCGAGCATGCCAAACTCAATGTCGCCTGTTGGTGTGGTGAAGACAATGTTGAAGGTGTTGCGCAGGACGGCGGTGTAGGATATGCTGTTTATAGCGGCGAAGTCGAAGAATGCGAGAGGCTTCTTGAAGCCGTAGAGGATACCTACCGAGGTGAAGAACAGGTAGCCTAGAGCATGTTAGCAGAAATTCTGGGTCGTGATTTTCGTGCGCATGACGCACCTTCCTTGCTTCCCCTGTGTGCCTTGACATGATATGCCTTCTCACCCTTCCTGTGACTTTCTGGTACGGCGCTGGCGAATTCGTCGGCATCTGGGAAGACGACTTCTTTTCCTGTCCCAGCTTGTATCAGGCAATGATGAATCGCCTCAGCCATCGGTCCTGGACCTGGATCTTCGCCTTCGACTATGTTCTTGCCTGTCGCCTCCTCGAACGTCCATACTATGGGCTCTGGTGGTGAGGCCTTTAATTCGTCTGGCACGGGCGCCACTCCATCGCCGTGTAGTGGTATGACGATGAAATGGTGCTGCTTCTTGGCCTTCTCGGGTATGGGCAAACAGAAGACCTGGTCGACGTCTTTCCACGCAATGGCAAATTCGACATTGCCATTGGCGCCTATGGCTCTTATGCCGCCATCCTTCTTGTCGAGCAGTTCGAGAGTGAACTTCTTTCGCTGGGGTATGGCGACGCTGACGGCTTGGTATGTTTTGAATGCTTTCGTCGCAGTACTTGTGAGACTACCTCCTGACGCTGATGCGCCGTTCTGCGGGGGGTTGCTCTCTTCGATCTTGCGTTTCTTTGTTGCTGGCTCGGCAGCAGGTTGCGAAGTTTGATTAAGAATGTAAGTCGAAATGTCGCGGAAAAGAGTACTTTGCGCGGGGTTCTGGTCTGGGAGGAAATTAGTAATAGTTGGGAGTCGAATAGAGACCACATACCTATCGCGGCGTGCACGCGCTTCCGCAGCTCATGGTTGCTAGCGAAGGCGACATCAATTTCCTGTGGATGCGGTGCGAGAGTCGGAGCAGCTGGCGCGGGTACAGGCGCAGGTGCAGGCGGAGTTTGCACGGGTACTATGGGTGCCGATGGCTTGTTGTTGAGCGCTGTAAAGGCCATGGCGTGTGGTTAAGGGGATTGCGTGTTGTTGGCCGACATGCCTTGCCAAACGCGTCAAATCGCGACTCCTCGACAGTTAGCGCTCGGGCGTGTCTGACATCACCACCGTCTTTCACCCGCCATCACCACACTCTTGTTGTCGACATATCATATCGACGTCTACAGCTCCATTAGACTTCCCGCTGTCATATACATGACGCGCCGTCTGATCTATCCGGCGATGACTATACTGGCCCATCATAGTAGGAGCGACACGCGTCCTCTCGATGCAAGCCATCCTGCGGGGGATCTACACACTCCATCACGCCGTGTCTCATGCGGCACATTAGTCCATCAACAATGATATGTGATCAAATAATGCCTCAGGCGCTTTCGGACTACGCCAACACCCAAGAAAGCTCTCTAACGCTTATCAGAGTGCGTTATTGCGACGCGGGAGAACCATCATCGGTGCAGTGGGCGGGTCGTGCGCGTTGCGCATCTCTCACACTTCGTGTCGCGACACATGCTAACAGCCAATACACGATGACCAGACCGTTTGACACCTGTCAGTCGCATTACGATTCATCTAGAACAAGCCGGAGATGTACTCGACCGTTCAAGCAAGTCCTTGCTAGGTACCACCAAGGACCCTTCCAGCATTGACAGAACGATAAATCTTTCAGCAGAGATCATAGGTAAAGTAATCACAGTGTGGGCGACTACCCAAGCATGCAACTCTTGGAACGAATGCCTCGGCGGTGACCAGATGCTATGTAACTCTACCATGTCTCGTTGCCATCAGTCAGTCCACGTATAATTCTTCCATCCATAGCCCGCTCACATCCTATCATTACCCAGCCGGGAAAGGTAGAGATAATATCACTACCAATATGACGAAAGTCAACTTCACCCTCCCACCGGCAGCCGACAAAGTCACATCGCTCTTCCATTCCAAGAGACATGTCCCACCAGTTTTCAACCAGCCACTCAACACTAGTTCATGCCCGCATCATCGTATTGCAAGGCTACTGTACAGCGTCTTCCTTTCCTTGTTACTCGTAATCGCCATTCCAGTCATCACGCTCAAGGCGTTGACCTATAGCTTCATCGAAGACAACCGTCGGACGGGATTCACCTTCCAAACTACAAGAAAAGATGGCGAGCCAGGCGATGCCATCATCATGGCCGCTCTACCGAGGATGCTCTACGCAATACCAGCCAAATTGGCCATTATCGCTGCCACCCTTAGTATATGTCTGGCTGCAGCACACCTCGGACTCGTAGTCACGGACTGGAAAATGGGCAAGCGGGTACGCACAGTTGCCATATATTAGAAGTGTTCAATGCTAATGACTCGATAGACACAATCATACGCCTTCCGTCGCAACATGATGTTCCTGCACATCACCAACGCCATTCTCGTTCTGTTCGCTCTAGTCTCCATCTTCGTCACCCACAAAAACACCTCGCATTTCCGCGAGGGCTTCGTCAGTTTCCGCGCTTCTCGCATGAACGGTACAGCTGCAACCCAAGAGACCTTCTTTCGCTACGACTTTGGTACTTTTGATCTCGAGACTTGGGCGTGCGACCTGCAAGACGTTGGAGGTGCTGCCATGGTGCGAGAGGATTATAGTAAGCAATGCGCAGTTGAGGTTGCCGGCCGTGCCGTCATGGTGCCTTTTATGGTCATTGCTTGGGCTGTGGCTGCAGTCGGCCTTTGGGGCTTTGTGGGAGGCGGACGCAGAGGGCCGGATGGTGAGCGTATGAAGACTGAGGAAGTCGGCCTTGAAATGGGTAAGATGAACGCTACGGACGACTGAGCTGTTTGCCGTTGCTCAGTTTCCTTCTCGGCATGTCTGGCGTTTGGTAATGGTTTCTTTCCGTCTTTACTGCTAATATCGTTTCTTCATCTCGTTACTTCGCCCTCACACGACAGCGACGATACCCTTACTTACCACTGCTTTTCGCATGCAGCCCTTTTGCTGGTCAAATTTGCAGTTTCGTTTGCTTTTCCCAAGTCAAACGTCGCCAAGTGCTGGGGCGTTTCATATTACTTTTGTCGCAAAGCATGATGTCAAGTTCAATATACACCAGCTTTTTATCTTATTGTCGCTGTGTCTGGACCATTTCTCTTTCTGTTACAATCGTTCTATGAGACAATAGTGATAGGTGATCATCGTAGGGTTGTCGAAAACGGTAGTCTGATGTTGCACTGCAAATTTCAAGGTGGGTGGGCGAAATACATTCTCCTCCAACACGACAGTGATCACGATCATGTCCTGGAAACGAATACAAGATAGACTCGATTGTTTGAATTTGAATATCGGTATCAAAGATAAGTCAGCATTATCCCTTCCCCTTCTCCACTCATCACCACTAACAATGTGAAAGAGAAATACAGTCCCAGCTCTCCCCAATAACGGAAAGCTGGGAGTCGTAAATCTAAGCGAGCTCGTCTCATGCATTCTCTCATGAAATTAGCTCTCCAAACCATTCCCCGATAAGCGAATTTGTCCTGCACCCTCACCATACACGCACGCACGCACGCACAAAAGGCAACTCAGCCCATAGTCACCCTCAAGTGAGAAGCGAGCGAACCATAGCTGCTGGAAAGAAACACTGGAGCCACGGCCGGGGTAGCAAGACTCGGCTCTTCTGGCATCGCTTGGAGTGTTACGTCTCATTTCATGGTTTCGTACACAGTCTTGATCCGAAGGGTAGGCTGCGTCGTGGGTGCGGCCTCACCACCATCATCGTACACAGTCTTAATGCGAAGAGCTGCTTGGGTCGTAGGTATGGCTTCGCCACCAGAAGCGTTTGGAGCACCAGTTGCAGAATTGCCTGGTGTGTGTGTCTGCTTCATCCTGCCCTTGACGGTCGTCGTCCGAGACGTGACGCCCTTATCGTAGCACGAGATGCCGTGTTGACCTGCTTTACCATTCCCACCGCAGAAGCAAACCTGTCGCTGATTCTTGCGATTGTGTTCCTCTTCGAATTTCTTCATATTCTCGTCTCTTTCGGGAGTGGGTTCCTTGTCTTTTGTTGTCTCATCACCTGAGATCTTGCCATCTGGGCCTTTGTCGCCTGGGATGGTGCTGTTTTGAGGTTTGTCGTCTTGAATGAAGTCGGCGTATTCATCCTCGTCTTCGCCTACCTCTTCTTCCTCCTCTTCTTCGTTCTCATCTGTGATCTCGTCCTCATCAGGGTACTCGCAGATGTCATGCGCTGATTGCTCGAAACACCAGTCATCACCAGCGTAACAGCCGTGTTCGCTGGTTCGGACGGACGAGTCAACGTTGTATCCATAGTTCTGCTCGTGGATCACGTAAACGGTGTCGACGATGCAGTATGGTCCGTTGCACTCGCCCTGTCGCGTTATGTTCTTGGGAGTATTCTTTGGGTATCGTGTTTCGTGAGCGACGAATTCAGATGTAGCTTGGACGATGGGCTCTCGGGTGGGTGTTGGGGTGCAAGAGTTGGGTGTAGATGAAGCTGATGAACTTGTCTCTGGCGGATCGCTGAGCTGCGGTTGCCCTAGCGGGTGAGACTTGTGCGGTTTGGTCGAGCAGCCGCCGTTCCAAGCCTCCTTCATGTGCTTCGCTGGCTTCTCTTCTTCATCAAGTCTCAGTAACGCCTTCCAACTCGTGCCCGACTTGTCGCAGCTTTTGCACTTCTTCCCGAAGTTGTCAAAGTTATACAGCCCGCCGTCCTTGATGAACTTCTTTGTGTATGCGAAGGTCCAGTTGGTAGGTTGGTCCCAGGATGTTGCATCTGTCGAGTTGGGACCATCGCATTGGCAAGGAGCGTTGTTGTTCTTCGTGCTGTTCACGTCGGAGATTGCCTCGCCTAGCCAGCTGTGACATATCGGAATGTCAAAGCCATCGGGAACGTTGCCGTAATCCGTCAGATGTGGTATCGCTCCTGGAGCAAGTTCATTCGTGGGATTCAACTCAGACGGGCCCGTGGCATTCACCCCTTCAGCATATACCTCCGGCGGTTCAGGAGCTGTAGGCTCGTCGCGGCATCTGAGTTCCTCTTGCTTGTCACGATGCGGGTACCATACCTCCCCTCTCCAAAGTGCAGATCTAACTACGTCAGTCTCGTAGAGACCATGAAAACCTTCTTCGCTTGTGAGAAATTCCCACCCTGGAGGACTTCGTGTTTTCTTATCGTCGTAGTTGGACATTGCGTAAGTCCAGTATGATCTGTTGGGACGTTCTTCAAGGCACACTTTGTTGGATCTTGGTCCCCGGTTGTCTTGGTCGCAGTTTTGACCAGAAGGAGTAAGACTCTCAACGATGTATACGCCCTCAGTCCTCCTGTCAACATTAGCCACTACTCACAAGATGTGGTTGGAAATGCAGCGCATACCAAAGGGCGCTTATTATGGTAGCGTAGGACTTCATCTCAATTACATATTGAATCCAGGCCCGAAAGTAAACGTTGGCACCAAAAAAAAAGTCTTTTTCAAATAGATCGACGATATTATGACCATTATGCGTTTCGTAGCCCAAGGAGAGGAGTGCCATCCCTTCCAGCGCTTCGTCAACTGCAAAGGTGTCGAGCTGAACCAAAGCCGCACGTACAGAATCCAGAGTCTTTTCGAACCCGTGGCTGTGTGTCATTAGCGTTCCTTCTCGGACATGTATATCGGCTCTGACTTACAGATCTTTCTTGTGGTTGATCTCTTTGACCACTTCCTTGGTCAAACCTTGCATACCTAGCCAGCCTCCGCTGGTAATTGTCCACAGCTCTATCCTGTGTTAGAAAAATGCTTCGCACTTGCGATCAAAACTTACTCTGTGAGTTTTCGATTGACTTTTCGCGAAGTAGGCCATCGCCGGGTTTCCTGCGGCTCGCAAATTTTGCAAGCCTGCTAGCGTTTGGGAATTTCTTACTCATTGCACTTAGACCCCGCTGCCATTTGTTGGCAAGACTTTGTGCTCTAGGGAACTTGTTAAACATAGCTGTAAGAGTTCCTGGCCTATAGTTCAGGATGTTGGCAGCCGTGGTAAACAGTCCGAAGACAGCTGTGATGATGCCAAAAGCCAGTTCCATTTGTTGTATGCGTTTTTGCTTTTTCTCCTCCTTCTTGACTGCTGCGTCCTGCTGCTCATCGGCATACGTGAAAATTGCTGTGAGCCGATCCAAGTCTTCAACAATGTGCCTATAGTGATCCTGGGTCGCTTCGCTTCTGATGTGAAACGAATGATCGAGTCCAGAAACGAATTCGAAGAACAACATGGCTGCCCGTCTTTCATCGGCAGTGTTGTTCATACCGATATCGTGGCAACTCGGGGACTGTTGATGCCTTTAGCGCAAGTAAACTTCCAAGCCAAACGTAAGATACTTACCGTGCACATGCTGAGGCCATCGCAGAGCATACTACTAGGTGGTACGCTGGGGGCGTATCGCTTCGCCATGTATGCGGGAAAAGTCAATTCGTCGGAAGCAAGCTTATATTTGCTCCCCTGTAGTCTCTTGTAAGTCCGGAAGTGTTTCCTCAGAAACTTCGCGTCGACGTGCCTATGTCTTCTCCAAAGCTCTTCGGTGATCCTGGGGAGGCCTGGACAACCACTTATCCACTCGTGCGCACCCTGATCTTCATTGAAGTTACAATAGGGATTGTGTGCACAATCCAGGTTATCGCGGTCGGCCTCTGAGAATTCGAGTCCTTGTGAAGTGAGATTCGACCAAGCGACGCTCGTAGATGCATTGACGACATCGAAGATGTGGAAGGTGGCTTGTATCCACGCAAAGAGTCGCATGATAGAAAGCTTTTGTCCGCGCAGTAAGACTAGTGAGAAGCGATTTTACGGTTGGAGAGGTATTGGTCAAGTATTGATGGAGTGGAACTTGCGTCGCTACCCCCTTGTCTTGGTAGGAGTAGGACGCTATTCAAAGTAGATGTTGAAAACAATCACCCCTAGCACGTTACTCAGCGAGTGTTCTTATACTTGCGAGCTCTACCAGCGAATAGTATGTATTTGCTTAGAACGTCAACACATTACCCAGGTATGAGCCGATCTGATCGATCAAGGGCAATCTTCAACCACACATCACGATCACGAGCTTGAGAGCCAACGGAACATCATTGCTGGCTATATACTCAGTGGCTCTCTCCCTGAGGGGTCCATCCACTATGACTAGATACGACGACAATGCTAAGGAGGCTTCTGGGCAACTAACCCCCCTTCTCTGACTAGCCTTTCTTGTTATGGCGAGAAGCACATATTGAAAATGGATGAGGGTGCCTCTCTCGGTACGACGGTTACTTCAATCAAGTTTGGGGTACCGAACCGTATCGTTACTTTTTGACTTCCTTCTTCTGGGAAATATTCCCAAGCTTTGCCGAAGATCTGCTTCATGAGTAGCCCATCAGGCAACAATTTGTACATGCTTCGGAATGTGTACTAAGTTTGATGAGAAACTGACAGGGCAAATATGTGCTTGAGATTATCGAGCCTACAGGATTCGCATACTGTTACATGCTCAACTTGTTACAAGTACATCATCGGGTAATCTGGAGATATGCGGTCGTTACCACCTCCACCGCCGGAGTAACACGTAATTATTTTTCTATCCGTCCGAGAAACCGGTATCTCCAATACACAGACTTAATGTAATCGTTTTAGCCATCTAAGCTGTTTCTGTCGATAAACTTCACCTTCACCTTCATCAGTGACGAGATTCGCATCAATGTAGCTGTCATGTCTGCTGTCATTAATAATCTTAGGCACTGCTCTGCCTCAGCACAAGTGCAATGACCGGTTGTTCTCAAAACTTCAGTAGTTATGATACGTCAGCCTTCGTGCGACAGAGACCCTGACCGCGTTCAGACAACGGAAAGGCGATCTGATACGTGTGTGATTACCACTGCATGTTGACTAGTTCTGACCGAGAACCAAGGCATATACAAGTCCGCACTCCCCCGCTGTACTATAAGCCGCTTCGACGAACCTCCATTGGGGCCGATGATCAGTTGGGGAAGCGAGAGGATTACAGCTACGAACGATGCGGTTTCATTCGACCCAGACTCTCACTTCACGGGTCTCGAGCTCCGAAAGATGGGGCCGGTGGATAAAAGTCCCTATAAAGATGAAGTCTAGTTGGACCATGAGTGATTGTCAACCCACATTCCCACTTTAAGCCCTCATTCGATCCACTTTACAACCACGTTCAGCAACTACAATCCCCGCACGGAAATTACCAGCAACAGCTCTTCATCATACCCTAACATGTTCCTTCAAAACTTTCTCGTACTCTTTTATGTGTTCTTTGCCGCCACTGCGGGCATAGTCCCTCGTATGAACACGGCATCGTTGGAGGTATGACTTCGCTATCTACTATCCTATGGTTTCATTCTGACACTCATACTTTAGCAGACCGCTAAGGCTGCGTCTGAAGCGCATGCATCCGCGGCCACTTTCGTTCCTATTGTCAGCAGTTCTTTCCACTTTAAAGATGACGATTACTGATTCGTCCCAGGCTGCTCGACAAGACTCCTCCAGCGATGAACTTAATGCTATGGACAACTTAGATTATAATACCTTCATCCTCTCCGCAAACGACCCCCAAGAACCTCAGGCGAGGTACAGAGAGTATACACTTCAACAAGACCTTTTAGCGTGCAACAAGCAGTACGGGGTTGACCCAACTCCAATCGCAAGCCAGTCTTCCATCGGTACGACCCCACTCAAGGACGTCAGGTTCACACAATGCCAACAAGCCCTCGTCGAATGCGCCCAGAAGGCTCTGGATGAGCACAAGTTGTCCAGCGAGAGCTGGCCTCTTGCCGACCCCTTGGAGAGGCCCGTCTTGAGAACCAACATGCTCGAACGCGGCATGGTCAAGTGTCTCCGTGTAGCCGCCTCAGACACCAAGAAAGTCTTCACGCTTTCCGACATGACAGAGAAGGAGTTCGAGGCTTACGGAACAGTTGCAATGTGCAACAAACATCTCATCCTGTGCTTCGAAGACATCTCAGGACAATATGACGACAAGGTAGCTGAGTGGGACGAAGATCACCCTCAGTGATCAGTGGGCCTCTCTATTCCCATGGCACCGGCAACGATACCTCAATCCGGTACTCTCTCTTGTGGTGAGACAAGATGGTGATAAAAGGGTATCTCTAAAGATCATTTGGTGGACGGAAGGACGCTCATCAGGGAACATGTACTCTCCTCCAATGCCTTAGCAGTCATCACGTTATTAGGGAATTCCACAACTCGTAAGCTGTCCAATCGAATTATATGGTTCTCTTCGTACCTGATACCGGAATCACTGTTTTCATTACGTGTTCGATGTTGTGATTTCACAGCCTGTTCATCATGGCACCTGCGTCAACTCAAGGGTGACAAGTGAGTCGTACCCCCTTTTTGATGTCTATCGTGAACCCATTGTAACATACCTCACCCTGCGTCATGTCGCAGCATAGGCTCGTCGTCCCGATTTTGCTTTTGCCAATCTTTCTTGCCATTCTTGGTTCAGGGGCGCCGTTTGCTTTTGCGGCAATCTCCACTGTGTCCCTGTTGAACATCAATGCACCCCGCAAACTAGCCGCAAGTTCGCAAAGCTAGGTGTCTTTGAAACTGTACCTGCGTCCTTTGGTGAGTATGCATTGAGGGCACTACGGGTAGGGCTTGTTTGCCTCAAGTGGGCCCCCTTGAGAAGATCATGGGGATCCTCCACGTTGGAGTTTCGCATCCAGAACTACTCTGCTTTAGGAGGCGAGGCTCCATCATCGGACATGGTCAATTGAAAGTATACGTATTTCGCGCGGAGTCAGACCCAAACGACGAGGTCATGACGATGTGCTGCGCAAAGGGTCCAGATCGATGTGCAACTAGAGTATGAGAGCACTGCGAAGACTAGGTTGTCCGAATGACGAACCATGGCCACTTTGTACTTACAATTAGAGACTCCTGTAACGATTGCATAATGACTTTGTTCTGGTCGGGACAAGCAAACAGGCATCGCGATCGAATGATGCGTATAGACAATCACGCTAACTGTACCTCCTCTCCCGCTAAGCCTTGCCCTCTTTCTTTTTCTCCACTTTCTCATCGCCAACATCATCCACCAGCTTTTCGGGAAAGCTGAGACGTCACTTCACTTAATGTTCCATTCCTGGCATCTTATTCAACCTGCAAAGGAATCGATTCATCAGCTGTCTCAAATGTCGCTCAGGTTGTCTCGGCAGAGATCAGTGATCTGGCAATACCGTTCGGCTCCCCAGCGTCATCACCGAGCACCGATCGTCTATCGCTGGCTGACTTTGCATAATCTTGCACAGAACACGAGAGTTACTGCAGTGCAAGCATGCAGGATAGTGAGGCCACTCACCTCTGACAGCTCAGGGTCCATTAGACTCTTATTAATAGACGCCATCGGATGAGCATGAAAAGTATGTGGCGTAGAGCCAAGCCGTACAACGTCGGTGTTTTAGAAGATGGCGCTCCGATGCTTTTGGGGGTTGTGGATGGTGTGTGAGAAAGACGTCGCATTCGTCAGAAGTCATCGCCGTCTTACTGCACCGTTGCGCTTTGCTGGTCGTGCTGCGGATGCGACTGCGGAATGTTTCTTGGTCTACTAGATGTGTTACTGAGATGTGCTTCTTGTTTTGACTGTTAATGCGAAGAACTGAAGCATACTCATGCCTATAATACTCTTCACCCCTATAGCTCATAGCCGTATATCTCTGAATTTTGTTACACGCTCATTACCTTGGACCTCTCGTACATTTGGCTGCAAGCGATATATCAGGCTTCAGCGCACGCGCCCCACATATCCGGATTGATATCCACGGCTTACAGTCGATATTGGGACAATGGCGGCACCTCCCCCGTTCATACCGAAGTTCCGAGGGGCGCGCCCAGCCTATTCCATCATATCAACGCTATCATCTCGTCCGTCCACTCATGAGCTTACAGAAGTGAGATGGCACGGGCGCACCGATGCCGAAGAACGCGACCTGATCTCTAATATCCTTCAAGATTTAGCCGATAACTGCGAAACGGCGTTTGCTCGAGCACACACCGAAGCACAAGAAGGCACCGCCGCGTATATCTCTTACAACGCAAGAGAAGAAGATCTGGCCCAGTCAAAACCATATCAGCAGAGACGAGAAGTCGCTACTTCATACACTACCAATAACTTACGAGAAGATCTACACGAAATTCGACCCTTCCTTCGGGAAAGCACTCTAATGGCGTTAGAGGGAATACTGCGGCTGAATGAGGCCAACGAAGCGAACGGAGTCGGAAACCGCAACACGATAAGAAGAGTTTCAACATCCGAGGACGGCGACCATGTGCCAGTGATAATGGATCCATACCAGGCCTCAAATTATTCAACCCCCACAAGCTTCAAATTCGACGACGACGTTATGGACTCGCCTCTCAGTCCACCACTGAAAAACATGCACAGAAACTTCCACAAAAGTCATCTTTGGGATGCGAGCTCGGCGAACGATCAGCCCCTCAGTCCGCCAATAGTAGCTGACATCGAACGGCAAAGAGGAGTGAAGACGACGCCATCTCCATACCCATCTACAGCAAAAACAGCAGTCATAATGCTGTCACTATACATCTCGATCTTCCTAGTCGCTCTCGACAGGACCATCATCGGCCCAGCGATACCTGCCATAACGAATGAATTCGACAGCATTGGCGACATCGGATGGTACGGTAGTGCGTACATGCTCACAGCAGCCGGATTCATCCTGTTATACGGAAGGATATACACCTTCTTTCCCACGAAACCAGTC